CTTTAAAACACTGTAAGTAGCTCGTGTAACGGACACCAATCTATCAGCCAGATAGATGGCGAACGCTCCCGGATTCGTTTAACTGATTACACACAGATGGCGATAAGCCTAAATAAAAGAAAATTGACTCACTAGTTCGCTAGGACTCGTAATTGATGTCTAGGGGAAACACTAGAGAAACTAATGATGCCTTAAAAACCTTTAATCTGCATATAACTTGTAATGAGTGTACAAAGTCGTGGCAGAAAACTAGATTTATACAAGAATAAAATGGATATACAGAATGAACAAAACCCAACTTACAATTCGTGGGAATAAATAGTATGATACACTATCACAGCTTTAAACACTTCAGAAAAATCACCACTGTATACATAACACTGCTATAAGCATAAATAATTACTTATTCACAAGTAATATAACAACTTAATACTGCACGGCAACACACAGGGCTTATCAACTCTCGACGACGTCTGACCAAAGACTGCCTCGAGACACCTGTGGGCGATCTATTTATAGACTTAGGTAACATGGAAGGTCACCTTCAAATCATAAGACCATTGGTTGGGGTGGTCATCTGGTCTGAAACAAACAATCAGATCTTGATGGAAAATTTCTGAGTCTTAGTAAGACAGCGGAAAAAAACCGGTTATTGCACCACAGACCATATATGGTATTATAACAAATGTCAAACTAAAAATAAAACACTACTAGACCTAAGTAGGTCACACTCGTTAAGGACCATAACCCCCCCCCCTTCCTCCCCCCCCCCCCAACGTTTAAATCGTTTCAAACTAAATTATCTGCCCCTAACAGCCGTCACTAAACCCGACTCCACGAAGGTAAACATAGCGTGAACCACAGCTCACTAAGACCATGTAGGGGTGGGGATGGTAGGGAGCGCGTTTACAGCTTGTTTTCTAGCGTCTCCCAGAAGAGAATTATATATATAGATTTATATTGTCGTCTACCCTGTTGATGCAACTGTTTACAAAATACTTACTACAATTATATCTAACTATATGCAATGCATTTTTCAGATCTTGATTTAATACAAATGTTATGGTTAAGCGGTATTGTAGTTTGTTTTCGCTTATAATGATCGCTAACCCTGTTTTAAGCCAGTAAGACATGCGTGAGTCAACTCAGCCCTTTATTGGCACCTAATAGTTTATTAAAAATAAACGCTGCTGAATAAAGTGCTTGTCACACTTTCCCTTTATATGCCGATGTCACAGAAACACGTGGACCCGTGAGGTTTGAAAAGGGAAGTTTTGTTTGTCAGTAGAAAAGAATCGTTTTCGTAAGCTGGCATAGAAGGAAAGGCGTCGCGAGGGGAGATTGGTGAGTTTGATAACACCAAGGTTGAACATTGCAAAATTTACAGAAGAATAGTGCTTTAGACCGCTTCAATTAATGGTTAAATTAATGATAAATTGCGTTCTTATAAATTGACAATCCCGATAAAAAATGTCCAGGTTAGAATGCGTCTGGATTAAAAGGTTGAGTTAGGAATAAAAATCAATAAGGACGCTTTAGAGTTGGTTCGTATCGACAGTACACAATTTCGCTGGAGAGTATGTGCTGTTGTTTTATATATTTGTTGTAATTAGTTTAATCTGATGATGAGGACGCGATGGTGATACAGATGGCATAGGAGGCCATAATTGGGAGACAATTTAGGGATATAATAGTAGCAAGAAAGAGCTTAGTAGTCGGGGAGTGGATGTTGAGAAAATTTTAATTAGCCTGTAGTATTCATTTTCTTGAACGTCTGGTATTCTTTATTTCGCACGGAAATTTAAAAAAAAAAACTGTCCTCGTCACTAAAGAAAACATCGTAAAGATACAAAGTTAAAGTTCAAAGATGTAGTATATTTACATAGAGACTCAATTACAGTGTGTAGGTTAATAAATGACATCACATTCCGACTTTGCGGAGGTGTGCGGAGGAGATGATTTTGTTTTTTACTTTCTCGTATATACGAAGTATAGAGAAAGTATTGTAATCGTGCAAAAAAAAAATCGAGATTTTTACTAATCTCGACGTTTTACATCTCACTGATACGGAAAAACATAATTTTGCAATCTTGTCCGTATGTCTGTGTATCTGTGTGTATCTGTGTGTCTGTGTGTAAACACGATTACTTGAGTACCGTTACAGCTAGGTTGATGAATATTCATATATAAGTATTTTATCAAAATCGTAGATCCGTATTAACTTTTGAGCGATTTCCGATAACCGGAAGTGGTACTTTTTCTACTTTGAATTTTTAAAAAGCCTATAACTTGAGTACTATTTCAGATAGATAAATGAAATTTAACATGTAAATAAAAGATCTAATTCTCTACCTTCTGTTAAAATTTGAGTAATTTCCTATGACCGGAAGTACTAATTTATGCTATTTCCGATTTCTCAAAAAACGCATGTAAATTTATAAAGTACTCATAATATTGCGCACTATTATGCACATTTTATTAGGCGTTCACTTGGTGTGCAATTCTCTTTTTTACAAGATTCCATTCTATTATAAAAAGTTTAAGTAATTAAAAATGGATTACAAATATTGTGTATGTCCTGAGTTGCCATGCCTCGTAGTTTCATATTAGAATATTTGAGAAAGTTTAGGGGAGATCACTCCCGGTTTATTAAATAGTGCTTTCATGTGTTTTCTGTTGAAAAAAGTTTGATCATTAAAATGAAAATGAACGCATTTCTGAGCCATGTTATTCGTACTTTTGATTCGGAAAACAATTTTAAAGTTATCTGCAGGGCGTGTACAATTATGTTTTTATTTTTCTGTAATTTTATTTTGGCTTAAGTTTCACGTCTATTGTAACTTTTATAAGTTTTTTTTTAAAACGCTCAAAATATCAACCACGAATTGAGAATTGGAATTAATGATTTTTATAAAATCATGTCACTGGCTCTTGTCTTCTGTAAATAAAAAAAAAATTTGTTTCAGGAATGAAATCATTCAAAGCCACTCCGTGTAAACTGAAATCCCCACAGTTCGGCAATTCCCCAACGCCTTGCCTTTAGTCTATGTCCATACGCTCTAGATCTCGAACTAAACCAAATCCACTTACAAAAACAGGACACAAACAGGTGAAATTATTTTTCAATTTATTTTTCTTTGTACATTGTTTAACATTAAAATGTATCAAACATAAGAAACTATCTGGTTGGCGTTGTAGTTTTGTCACATTTTTGTTTTAAAATCTTAAGATTAGGTTGAAATACGCTACTTATCAAAATATTATTAAAATAGCTTTGAGGAACCAAATTTTACATCCATATTAGAGAAGATAAAAGTGAGCATAAAATATATTTGTCGGTAGAAAATATGTCGGTAGTCATATTTTGTTTGCGTAGTCGTTTTGTAGGGAGCATACATACGTTGGTAAAGCAAATGCTGGGAGCATATGTATTTATTTGAGCTACGGATCGCTGTAGCAATTGATATCCGTATAACTAACAAAAACATTCTGTATTACAGCTTGCATCATTTTGTGTAAATATTTTCTAATTACTTGTAACCAAGAGGTGTGTGGAACTGCTGGTTTTAATTAAAATCATGACAATGGTTACTGTATTGTTTTATTATTGTTTGCATTCGAAACCAGAAACAAAGTAAAGGACCACTTCCAGTTAGCCGAGGTCATTCAAAAATTGCAAGTAATCCTGGTGTAATATCTATATTTATGAATTAAATTTTTTCCACCCTAATTAAAACTGTATTGAAGTTATGGTCATGACATGGTATTAGAGTGAAGTACCACTTCCGGATACCAAAACATCATGCAAAATGAGATACAAACAAGCGCATACAATCGTATAACTATACCCAAAAAATGTCATCTTAACTTAAACGTTGAGCAAGGGTTTGGCTTTTGAAAAACCGGAAGTAGAGTAAGTACTACTTCCGTTACCAGAAATAGTTTAAAAGTTAATACAAGACTACACATTTTAATATAAAACTTATACATGCTATTTCGTCAATATAAATTAAACGGTACTCAATTAACCATGTTCACAGACAGACAAACAGACAAATAAGCAGACAAACAAAGTTGCAAAACTAAGTTTTTCCGACTTAGGGAGGCGTTGAACGCCGAAATTTGTGAAAATCTCGATTTCGAATTTTTGCACGATTACAATACTTCCTGGATGTTTCGTATAGAAAAAAAAGTGAATATAATTTTTTAAACAATATTAAGAAAAAACATGTACAAAGTGAGAATGTGCAGTCTTCCTTGCTAAGCACGAGGAAGCAAGTAAAATAAAAGCTTGTAAAACACTAAAGCAGCAACTAAAACTGCGTCAATGGAATACAGTTTAGAAATGTTAAACAAAATATAGGCCTACTCATTGTCCTTTAGTTGGGTGAAATATTTTAAAATTTAAAACCTTTTTGTAATTTCATCACAATACCAGTCCTTTAATTACGGCAATAGATAATTTTAATTAAACTTTGTATGCGAATAAGAAAAATGTACACGTACAATTCAAAATTTTAAAAAATGTAGTAAAAATATTTTTTTTTTTTGCATTATAAATAGAACGTTAATTATGTTAATTTTGCATTATAGATAGGCCGTTAATTATATGTTGATTTATAGTTGATTTATAGTTGATAATATTATTCAATGAATATATTACACTTCTATATCTGATATTACATTATCATATTTTTTCTTTAAATTCATGAAACAAAAATATTTTAAACGTATCTTTAAAAACACGAAAACACTACATAATTTATATTTAAAATATCCACATGATTAACTCCTACAGAAAATTATGATTAAATGTAAAAAACGTATTTTATTTGTAAAGAAAAATAAAAAAAATCAATACATTAAAAACATTTAAAAAAAAAAAAACAATTCATGTGCCTAGTCTTCTGTTGTTCATTTTTTAGGATTCGTGATCAACATTTTATCCAATACAAGTGTTCGTAGAATTGGATGTATTGTCTGGATGTTGATGTACTGACCCTTTTCTTCTTTCATATCTTGTGGGTCCAAAATTCCTGGAAAAGTTGGTTTTCCTGTAGCCATTTCAACATCTCTACAGCCAACACTCATATAAAATATCATTACATTTGAGCAACATGATCTATAACTTAAATATTTTTAAGGGATCACATATATTTATGTTTAAATGAATAATTAATACATAATATAATTTCACAATTTAAAATACAATAATTTAAAACATTTTTTGTGGCCCTGCAGAATGCAGAGCATGTCCTTCAGGACTGCTACTTGTACAATCATGAGCGATCCCCTATACACCCCACTCAAGGAAAAATTATATGGGGCACCCACAGATCTGGAGACCCAGCTAGATTTGTTGTTTAAATCATCCAACATACACTAAATTAAGAACGCAGAAGAGAAAAAAAAAGAAACATGTTTGCAAGCATCAATTGATTGTTGTAAAGCATCAATAAAGTTAAAGCGCATGTTTTAATTTTAAATGCATAAAAAACATATTCACAAAGGAAAAAAAGTAAGATGTATCTCAGCAAGAAAAAAATAAATAAAAGAAATGATAATTTTAAAATCGACGATTAAACATTACAGTTTATATTTAAATTATTTATAGTAGGCTAATCTTCATAAAAAAATAAAAATTACATCTTTAAAAAACTTAGTAAAATAGTTAAAATTCTCTTCCTTAGTTAAAAACATAATTATTCAAAATATATTGAAATTTAAACACAAAAAATGTGATGTGAACATTATAGAAAATCAGAGAAAGAATTTAAATTATATATTTTTCTTTACAAGCAATGTGAAGCAAATTGATTGACGAACTCTAAACATTTATGTGCAGCCAACTGTAAGACAGGCACAATACATGCATCTCTTTGCCGTTTACACACAAAGAATAAAGGGGAATAATGCACTTTATTTAAAAAATTTAACTATTATCCTGCTTTAAACGCTGCAGGTATATTACAAGGCGTCTATTTACAAAACATCAATCAATAATACTTAGGTTCAATTCAAAAATACTTGAAGATTTTTCTCAACTTCTTGCATATCATTTAATGCAGGTGTGCTCGTAAATATATATTTATAAATATTGGTAATGCTTGCTAATTACACCAGCTACACCTTTTGTTTTGTCCTAGGGTCAGAATCTGTTCTCTCATAGTATCAGATTCTGCAATTAGCATACTTTGACATTGTTCTCCCGTAAAAAAATCATTTATTTTATTCATCAAGTTTTACATTACATAACGTAAAATTCTAGAGTTCTGAGTCAATTTCTGACAACATCTAAAAAAGTGCATACTCCAAAAAAAGTTTAGCTGTTTTCACTGACTATTATGTTTTCTAATGTATTTTATGAAGTTAATATCAATATTTACAAGCCGGTGAGGAAATTAGGTATAAAGTTGATAATCATTTTGGAATTTATGATTTGTTTGTAATTCCTGAAAAAAAACAATCTGTAATTTATACCATAACGGTATGTACATTTACTAACCAAAAACAAAATTGTGTGCAAAATTCAACACGATTTTAACAAAATCAATGGCAGCTTGTTGTTTCGATGCCTTGCTTCACGAATTCTAAAATAGTCATAAGTTTGGTCTTTTTTTATTGTCCTGATTTTACACTTAACACACCTCATTTAATGAATTTTCTGATTTGATTTCGAAGCTTGAAAATTGAATTGAGTTTTTATTAACTCGAAACTTATTACTTTGAATTATTGATTAGCAAATTATTGATTAGAATGTTTTAAACCCCATTTTGTCATATAACTTATGTTAACAAATGACATTTCTTTACAACGCATCTCAAATTTTATATCCCAATCCAACGATTTAAAACGCGCACATAAGTATCTTTACATACACTAACCAAGCAAAAATGCAGCAGCCACTAAAAACGATTCTTATACATATTGATTTAAAACAAAAAATAGTAATGATACGATTATTGCATTTATTTAAATACAAAAAATGTAGTAAAATATAGTAGTTAAATATGAAACAAAAGTATATAATTGCTTATTAAGTGATTCTAACGCAGCAATATAATTATTTCAAACACATTTTAAAACAACATTTCAAGAGCCTCATCTGCAGTTGGTCGGTTTTTAGGTTTAATGTCAAACGCTTTCTTTAAAAATTGTATCAAAGGTTTTGAAGTATTTTCTGGAATTTCATAAACTGGTCCTTCTTTTCTTCCATATCTAAATATAACTTGGAAAACCTCATATTCCGGACAAGGTGGTTTCCCCGTAGCAATTTCAACAACTGTGCAGCCAACACTCCTTTAAAATGATTTTTTTTATTACAAAATTTAAGAAGCTATTACATAAATAATGTTATTGGTGGCATTTAAAATAAATCCATTTTATTTAATGCTTTGAAATACGATTTTACTTTTCAAGTATCCTTTAAATTAAAAAGGAAAATAAATTTTCATAAGTAAACTTAGATTATTAAATTACCAAATGTCTGCTTTTATGGTGTATGAAGTTCCCTTGTCACGACGAATGATTTCCGGTGCCATGAAGTGGGGGGTACCAACTGTTGTATTTGGTGAAGTTTCTTCAAGAAATTTAGAAATACCAAAGTCTGCAAGCTTTAAATTATTTTCATCCTTTAACAATATGTTGGCACCTGCATTATACAAATGGCATCACTGTTATACAAAATAATAAAGGCATTTAATGTTTTCATATATATATATATATATATATATATATATATATATATATATATATATATATATATATATATATATATTACATATGTCAAATTTGATGAAATTGAAGATTGTAACATCACCTTTGATATCTCTATGTATAATCTGTGGTTTAAAATTGTGAAGATACGAGACTCCTTCTAATATTTGCTTAGTAAAGTGTAATGTTTTTGTTGAATCAAAAGGGCCATTTTTTGCTATGCATCCAGATAAGGATCCCTAATAAATATATTTAGATAAAAATGATGTATAGTTAACTTTTTTTTTAATTTAAAAAAATTATAAACGTAAATTGCAAATGTGAATTACAAAAGACAATTATAAATATAGATTATAAATGTAATTATAAATGTAAATTTAATGTAAATTACAAACGTAAATTAAAAATGAAAATTATATGTGTAATTCAATAAAGTCAATTAAAATATAAATTTAAAGTGTGAATTAAACACTTAAATTTAAAATGGAAATTACAAATTTATTTTGAAAGATTTTAAAAATGTTGTGAGAAAATATGTATATGTACGTGTGCGTGTGCATATACGTATGCATGTGCGTGTGCTTGTACGTGTAAGTGTGTGTGTATATTTATGTGTATGTATATGTCCCCTGGGATCTTTACCTGCTTAGGCCCTATCAAAGATGAAGCAACCTGAAACCTATAAATTAAGTGGATGCGTGAACTGCGCATAGCTGCCGACATTGTTTTGTAGAGGCAATTTAAAAGAAATGCTGAAGCTTGCTCGTAAACTGACAATACATTATCGGGAGATGACCAGAGCGTCGATTTTTGGTTTACGGCTGTGGAATATTCCAGATGGTCACGCCCACCTTGTGAGATGTGACACGGACTGGTGCAGCTGTTCAGAGATTGGTAATAACATTCAGGATAGGTTGTAGCTTTTGTCGGGAACAACCCTGGCCGGAGCGGGGGGGGGGGGGGGAAGTGGGGGGCTAGCTTCCATGGTGGGCTATGTCGACTACATCAGGTGAGTGGGGACGAACGGAACAACATAGTGCAGAACTAGTAGACTAACAGGGAGGTCTCTCGTGAGCTGGTATAGCCCACGAGATGTCTGTATACGTGGACTAGAATTGACAGCGATACGAAAAGTAGTCATATTAAGGAATTCTTATTTTAGTATTTTTCTTATTGTGTTAGATGTTGTGACGGTTTTTGTTAATTGTTGTATTTGTATCGTGTAATTAAATTGTAGGATTATATGCGAAATGTGTTTTCTCATCATCGGTTCTTGTTTACAAATTCCTCCTCTAGTTCGAAAGGACTTGTGAAGAGACGTAACAACGTGTATGTGTATGTGATTGGTAGAAAAATATTTCTTATATTAAAAAGGAAAGGTGTTGACTTTAACGTATTACAATTTAATATGTGTTACTAATGCAGATTTATATGTGATTATTTCCACAAGAAATTACAGATAATATGGTGATCTAACGTGTACATAAAAATAATAAAACACAACAAAATACCTGTGGCATATAGTCAAAAAATAAATAAATAACATTTTCTTTGATCTCAAAGCCGTAAAAATCTGTAATTCTTTCATCACGTAACTTCTTTAAAATATTCACCTCACTTAAATAATTTGACTGTAACGAAAGAAATAAAATGATTATTAAAAACAAAACCACGGCATTGAAGTGTTCGGCTAAACCCAGAAGTCCTGAGTTCAACATCCCTGGCACATGAGGCTCGGTACCTGAGTGAAGACATCCAGAGCGTAGAGAAAACTCCAGAACCAAACAAGATTTCTAGTCTTAAAGATGTGATGTTTAAAGAAATGAAAAAAAAATCAATTGGTCGACTTTTTACTTTCTCGTATACAGAGTATAGAGGAAGTATTGTATTCGAGCACAAAGATCACATGAAATTTTGAGTTTTCATCGTTTTACACGAGAGTACCTCATCATATACGGAATATAGGGGACTTATTTTTAACGGGGAAAAATAATAAATGCAGATTGATTAAAATTTTGACGTTCTACCTATAATCAAGTCGGGAAAACTTGGCTTTGCAATTTTGTCCGTATTTCTCTGTGTGTTTGTGTGTGTGAATGTGAATATGTAAACACGATAACTTGAGTAACGTTACAGCTAGGTTTGATGCACATTTTTATACTTGTATTATATTAAATGTGTAGTCCTGTATCAACTTGTCATCGATTTCCGACAACCGGAAGTAGTACTTTTTTACTTTGAGTTTTTCAAAAGCCTATAACTTGAGTACTATTTCAGGTAGATAAATGTAATTTCACATGTAAGTAAGAGATATAATTCTCTACCTGCTATCAAATTGAGAGTAATTTCCGTTGACCGATAGTATTAATTTACGCTATTTTCGATTTCTCAAAAAACGAATGAAAATTTATAAAGTACTAATAATATCCCGCACTATTATGCACATTTTATTTGGCGTTCACTGGTGTGCAATTCTTTTTTCTACGAGATTTTATTCTATTTTAAAAAGTTTAATTATTTAAAATGGATTAAAATTCATGTCTATATCCCGAGTTCCCATCCCCTGATTTTTATATAAGAATATTCGAGCAAGTTTAGAGGACACCCCTCCCGGTTTATTTTAGCTTTTAAAAATAAAAACACCCTACATTGAATTTGCGGTAGGAAGAATTTACATCAATTTGTTGGGCCACGAACTTTAATCCAGAAGCCCTTCGTGGCTTTTCCGAATGATCATGGCTATTGCCTGGCTTCTCTGCCTATATTATGGAAAATATGAACTTGAGCCAAAGCTGTGTAATTCGACATTATTTAAAGCAATGGAGGTCATACTTTCACGCGACAACTGTATTTATAGAACAAAATATTTTGTGGTGTATTAAATCCAGCCCGAAATTAAAATTGTTTTAAAGTTTTAATTTAAAAACTACCGATAAATAAACAACGTTTTTCAAAAAAAATAATTCCCTGACCAAAACCACCGTTTGGCAATTTTTGTTAAAGTGACTTTAAAAACACCACTGTGAATAGAGTAAACCCACTACCCAGTATTATGAATTGCATATGATTAGAAAACTAGACGTGTGATTTAATAATAAAATGTATTAAAAAAGACTTAAAAGATCAAACAAATGTGAGGGGACGGCGTGGTCGGGCATTAGTGCGCATACTTGCTAACACCAATATTCCCTCCCTCCAACCCTTGATTTGAGGCTGCTTATTTGGGGATGGCAGTTCTTTTAGTAGAGAAAACTCTAAAAGTAAAAAAAATTCTATTTTGCGACATGTTCTTGGGCAAGAAGATGCTATTTAATCTAACCCTGAAAAAAAATCAGCCTGAAATGGGAGTAATTGTTTATTTTTTGCCGCATAACAAGTTGACAGGTAATAGGTAATTTTGCTGGAAGAAATTACCTACATTATTACATTTAAGAATAAAGAAGAAGAAAAGTTTTTGTTTATAATAATGTTACGCTAAATATTGAAATTACATACGATGTTTGTGCTTGTAAAATAAATTTCTTTGACAGCGAGTCTTTTATCAGTAAAATGACTTTTACTGTCTACTAGAAAAACTTTTCCACTGGCCCCATGTCCAATTTGTGTTTTGCTTTTCTTCCAATCATTTGGAACATATGGTGCAAGATACAAATCTGAAAAATAAAAAAATGCGATAATATGAATGCTGTCGTGTACATATTTAAAAAGTCTTTATAAAAGTAAATGGTAAACGATTTTCGTAGTATATTACAATATAACTTAGAGAATATTTATAGATTTTGAAGATGGAAAGAAAACGTACCTGAATCTGAATCCAAACAAAGAGAAGATTTATTGACATGCCACATTATGCATGAAATCTTTGTTTGTAATATTTCATCAGTATGTTGTTTTAATATTTCAAGTTTTTTCAGTACAGTAATTTCTTTTTCAAGTAACTTGGAGTCATTTTCAGCAAATTTTAGAAGAAAATCAACAGTGCTTTCTTGTGTGTCCTTGTCACTATCATTCAGAATTTGTGAGCACATTTTAAAAAAATTAAATGGAATTGCATTAAAGCGTTCAGAATAACACGATTTTCTTACTAGCAATTTAAAGATATTTAGATGCTCTTTCATCGAGGCAATCATTAATGCATTGAATCCATCATTGTCAAAATAATTTACATCGCTTCCGTTCTTAACTAACACTTCAACAGCGTTGTAACGCCCGTTTTGTGACGCCAACATTAATGCACTTTTGCTATAAATATCAACTGCATTTACATCACTTCCAGCTGAAATCAGAAGCTGAATAATTTTCTCATGTCCTCTAGCAGAAGCCAGCATTAAAGCGTTTCGTCCAAATTTATTAATAGCATTTACATTTTCACCCTGATATATTATCTGCTCTACTACATTTTTATATCCTTGTTCAGATGCGAACCTTAATACATTTGAGTCATCATCATACACGTCATTAAAATCACATCCACTGTTTAGTAACAGCTGGACAACGTTGTGATGCCCGTTTAGAAAGGAATGTTTTAATGCATTCCTTCCATCATTGTCGACTGTATTAAGATTACAGCCGCTCTTAATTAATAATTGTACAACTTTGTCATGCCCATTTGTAGCTGCAAGAATTAATGCATTCCTTCCATCATTGTCGACAGTATTAAGATTACAGCAGCTCTTAATTAATAATGGTACAACTTTATCATGCCCATTTGTAGCTGCAAAAATTAATGCATTCCTTCCATCATTGTCGACAGTATTTACATCACAACCGCTATCAATTAACTGTTTTACAGCTTTGTTATGTCCATTTTTAGAGGCCAACATTAATGCACTTTCTTTATCATGTACTTCACATCCACTTTCAATTAACAGTCCTGCAACATTATCATGTCCCCTCTCAGCAGCAAACATATAAGCATTCCGTCTATTGTTATCGACAGCATTTACATTAATTCCAGTATTGATTAACAGTTGAACGATTTTTTCATGCCCATTTGTTGCAGCAAAAATTAATGCATTACATCCATCATTGTCGGCAGCATTTACATCACATCCACTGTTAATTAACAGTTGTACCACTTCGTTCTGCCCTTCACGTGATGAAAACATTAAAGAGGTCTTCTTATTTTTGTCAATAGCATTAACATCTGCGCCTGCTGTAATCAACAGTTTTACCGTCTCCTCATATCCTCTTCTTGAGGCCAGCATTAGAGCATTGGTTCCATTCTTATTAGCAGCATTTACATCACATCCATTAATTATTAAATGCTTAACAACATCAGTGTGACCATTATGAGACGCTAGCATTAACGCATTTCTTCCATTTTTATTACAATCATGTACATTAAATCCAATTTTAATCATTTCTATCGTATTGTTATGCCCACAATTCGACGCATCCATTAATGAATTACGTCCGTTTTTGTTAAAAATGTTTACATCACATCCACTTTCAATTAATAATCCTACAATCTTGTCATGGCCGTTTTGACAGGCCAGATTTAATGCATTCCATCCATTATAATTGACAGCATTTACATCACAGCCGCAATTAATTAACAGCTGTACAACTTCGTCATGTCCTTTATTGGCAGCAGAGATTAATGCATTTAATCCATTATAACTGACAGCATTAACTTTACAGCCGCTATTAATTAACAGCTTTACAACATTTTCATGTCCATTTGCAGCAGCAAAGATTAAAGCGTTCCATCCATCTTTGTCGACAGCATTAACATTACTACCCGCTGTAATCAAAAGTTTTACTGTCCCCTCATGTCCTCTTCTTGAGGCCAGCATTAGAGCATTATTTCCTTTCTTATTAGCAGCATTTACAGCACAGCCGCTCTTTATTAAAAGTAGTACAACAGTTTCATGTCCCTTTTTAGAGGCTAGAATTAATGCACAGTTTCCATCCTTATCAGCAGCATTTACATGACCTCCACTTTTGATTAACTGTTGTACAACTTTGTCGTGCCCATTTATGGCAGCCCAGACTATTGCATTCCACCCATAACTGTTAACAGCATTAATATAGCTACCTTCTATAAGCAACAGCTTTACTATTTCCTCATGTCCTCTATCTGAGGCCAGCATTAGAGCATTGTTTCCTTTGTTATTAGAAGCATTTACATCACATCCATTGTCTATTAAAAGCTCAACAACATCGGTGTGACCATTCTGAGAAGCCAACATTAACGCATTCAATCCATTATTGTCCTCAGCATTAAGATCATAGCCGATTTTTTTTAAAAGTTGTGCAATGTTGACATGAACCATATCAGGAGGTAACAGTAATGCATTCCCTCTAGCTTTTATAACAACATAATTTAAACTAAGCCTTGTATCAATTATCTCTTTTATAGTTGAACAATGCCCATGTTTAGCAGCGAACATTAGGGCATTAATATGTAGATTTATTTTTGTAATGATCTTTCTGTTTTCTTTTCCATCTTGAAACGCAATTTTTTTCTGAATCTGTTTTGTTTCTATTGTATAAGAAAAATACAAGAATGATTTATTGATGCACTAGAATATAAAACAAGATGTAAATATTAGGCAATTAGAAAATTAATTTCTAGCAACATATTATAACTATAATTAATTTTTAACTGTTTTAATGAGGATTAACAACAAATCTCATTTTATTCGAAACCTCAAAAAAAAAAAAAAAAAAAAAAAAAAACAGCTTAAATATACAATCTTAAATGAGGTTAATAAAATTATATTAATAACCCTTATCCTTATCATTCTGTACATTCTTTTAGTTATTTCAATGTTTATTGTAATGTCCGAATTTACGTTACTAAAATATAAATTGACAAACTATTAAAGTAAAATTAATTAATTACAGTCGTGTGCGCCTGATTAAACTTTAACCGGTTTTCTTTCAAAACCTTTGCTAACTTTATCTCATTAATACATTTTCCGAAGATGTAGTGGCAGTTTTTGATGAAAAAAAAACAATACGCATTAATTTAAGTGTCACGAATTTCTTGTAGGTAATATCTTACATATTCCGCCACCAAGCCTAAGATGCAAATGTCTAAGATACCTTCAAATTAGGAAGTTATTTTAAAAACATGACTATTTGAAATCACTGTTTGCAAAATGCTATAGATACTTTGTCTTTCCAACAAAAAATATTTTTTACCTTACAGAATATCAACATTTATTACATTAAAACAGAGCTATACTAATCGGTAGCAACGAATTCACTTTTATTTGTTTATAAAGTCATAAGTTATAAGCCTGCACCACAAAAACTCCAACAGGAATGGTAAGTAAGTAAAGTTCCCTTTACAAACCTGACGGTCTATGGGGCAAGTGAAGTAGAGCTCACTTGTTTCTGTGACCTCGGCATATGAAGAGATAGTGTGGTCAGCACTATGCCCAGCCGCCTTAACTTTACTAACGTGAGTTAGGTAGCCATCAGAGTTGGGTGGACTCAGGGAACGGTCTACTGATTTGAACTCGGATTCGATGTCAAGACTGACGGGTTAGTAGTCCAGCTCTCTACCGCTAGACCACTGCGTCCCGCAGGAATAGTAAAGGACTGTATATAATCTCTACTGAAAACCGGATATATATCCAGTATTCTCGTATTTTATAAAATCAGCTTCGTGTTTCTTGTGTCTGCTGTGTGTGTCTGACATCGATTTATAGTGCTTGGTTTTCCCAAAATGAAATCCCCCTGTGAAGTTGAATGTGTAAGGTGTGCATGTAGAACCAAGTGGTGCAATTAGTCTGTTTACTGTAGCATGAACGTACGACGTCTGTGTACTGTAAGCATGAACGTACGACGTCTGTGTACTGTAAGCATGAACGTACGACGTCTGTGTGTGTTAATGTTTATGACGTAAACGAGTGTAATTAGAGAAGCGACTGGGTTGAGGAGCTTTATATATGAAAATGACAAATAAAAGGACACGGGGAGGAAGCGGCGGACCGTGAACCACAGGCGTAGCGAGGGGGGGACATATGTCCCCGCCGGACGCCGACCTTAATATGAGGGGGGTGCGAATCGAAAGTTTGTGGTGGGGGGGGGGGTGTAAATGAAAAGTTCGAGGGGGGGGGGTGCAAATCGAAAGTTTGAGGGGGGTGCAAATGAAGAGTTCGAGGGGGGGGGTGCAAAAATCGAAAGTTTGTCCCCGGGCGCCGGAAGGGTCGCTACGCCTCTGCAGTGAACACGGATTGTGGTGGCAGGAGAGGCGGAAGACAAATGTGGTCTGAGAAGACGGGTCATATTCAAGAGAACAGCTATTTGAGTTGATTAAAGAGACATTTTGTGTTGTCAATTCAGCTTCTGTTGAGATCCCAGCAACAATAAACCAGACCCCCACCGCTCCTTTACTTACGACAGAATGGATAAGTAAACTCTAATTTTCAGACGAAGTACATTCTACATAAAACTGCAATAGAGGTTCACAAAATCAGTTGATATCTACATTAAGTAGCATACAAAATATGCATATAACATGTTATAAATCTACTAAAAATAAATATGGAATTAAATCCTACTAGCTTGCTTGTAAAATACAAGACTGTGTTTTTCTTGTGAGTCGATTCAAATATAGCGTGAAATCTATACTATAAAGATGAAAAAGACTGTAAATGTTTAATGTGTAAATGAGTAGTGTACGCAGGGGGAGCAGGGGGAGCAACCATTTTTGCTACACGGAACAATTCAATTCAAGCGTAAAAAATTTTCAAATGAGCTTACAAGAAATCAATATCACGTTTAAATCAATACCTATCATTCAAATAGCTACATCCAGCTATATTAATAATCGACTATCTTGACTATTAACTGTGGAACCGTTTCAAGCTATCGTATATATATATATATATATATATATATATATATATATATATATATATATATATATATATATATATATATATAATCATCAAATACATTTTTTTTTCCTTTGGTGGGGGTAACGCAATAAGTTACCGCACTGGGTAACATCCGACCTAGCGACGCCACTGCGTGCTATTAATACATTTTTAATTGATTTTAGAAAAAATATTGATTTTTTTTTCTTAACAGTTATATCCCAAGCTGACACAATAATAATATAAATCACCCTTATGTAGCCTGTAAATAACGTAGGTGTGTGTTTGAGGTGTGTATAATTATGTGTGTCGGGATTAGTTAGAAGATTGGGTGTTGTAAACTCAACCGCCACCTTGGTTCCATATAATGAGATGTCTCTCTTTAACTTATAGCTATTGTCGTTCTAGAACTCGTTTCGTGTTATGTTTACTAATTTTGTAAAACGGGAGTGATCTCCCAGAAACTTTCTCGAATATTCTTACGAAACACAACGGGCGCATGCCAACTCGGGATATAGACATTATTGCTCATTCATTTTTAAGTACTTAAAGTTTTGAAAATAGAACAGAATCTAGTAGAAAAAAGATTGCGCACCAAATAAACAGCAAACAATGTGTGAATATTGATAGAGTGGAACATTGTTTTTTTATTATATAAATTGATATGATTTTAAAAAAAATGGGAAATAGCGTAAATTGTGACTGACTGACATAATAAGATTAGTTTCCTCTATCGCCACGTCCACATATCGCCAATGTAAAACCCGTGGCTTACAAGCCAAATCAGTCGCCATGGAACCTTCTTTGCAACTTACTGTGGTTTTACATAATCTTTTGCGCCTTTTCGGCACATTGTCGATTATAAAATTTCTACTCAAAGCATGACTAGATACATATTTGCATACTTAGTGAGTGAAAACCAATTTTCTCCTTATGCAGTTGTCAGATCACAATACTACATAGCCGGTTATTCCAACGGTCGTTGACTTATGAAGTGTAAGTACTGTACTCAGCAGCTTGCTGTGGTTCCATACCCCAACCCTTCCCTGGTCACTTTGCAGAGAGCTTGCTATTTAAATTAGCCCACCCCTCCCTCCTCCCTTACGGTACCTGTCTGAAGGGTGGGGGAAGAGGAGCATCCAAACATTGCTTTGTAAAATGAGAGTACAATTGTGACAATTATGCGTCAACCCCTCCCCCCTTCCCCCAACATTCCTCCTAAAAGAAACACCCATCTAACAGCATGAATAGCCAAGCCGACCTTTAAGCTTACATCAATTTGACAGTGTCGCTGTAACTGGCGCCATACTCACCGACTTTTTTGTTTATAGGATTAGTACATAAATGGTCACATAACTCAGGCAAATCATGCGTGGGCGGCTTTACCATTTATTGTACGTTAATCAACCGACCAGCCTACCTCATGCCAGTCTTCTCCCCCCCCCCCCCCATCCCCCCCCCCATTTCCCCACGCCAATTTGCCAATCTACGTCAAACTATTTTATAGGGTGTCGAGATCCTTATTCGAAGTATTGCTACCTTTGAAATGCTAGCCCACAGTTAGTACTCTACCAAAGTTCTTAACTACGAGAAAAATTGCCCATTGAGGAAGGATACATCGGGCGCTAGTTTGTTTGTGATGTCTATTTTCTCTAAACAAAAACCAAAACCAAAATCACCACATATACTTCAAATTTAAACAGAAACGACAAATGACATTGAAAACGTATTTTTATACATAATCGGCATTTTAATCGAATTTAAGCATGATCTACTAAATATAGTCGTGGCCATTCCTCTAAACCAGGGGTCTCCAAACTTTTCAGCCCGAGGGCCGCATTAACTATCAAATATCAGTTCGGGGGCCAGAGTTTCTTTAAGGCATCTCTTTAGGGTCGTGCCCCCCCCCCCCCCGAATAACGTCAACCGCCCCCCCCTCACAACGAAATATAATTTATATTGAAATATACACACATTTCAAGTCAAGACTTTGAATCCAAGTCAGAAAACTGCTACTGAAACAGCTGGAGGTCTTTAATGATCTCGTATGTAAATGACGCGGGGAACTCAGTTGTTGCTTCAGCCGTAAAGACCTTGCACTGCTGAAAGTGTGTCAAGTTGTTAGCCTGTACTTGTTCCAAAAACATGACACGTTTGTATCTAAAGGTCTTTAGATGGGTGTATAGATCAGAAACTAGATTTCACTCTGTTGCCGTTTTAGGTTCAGAAAATGTAAATGACTAGTTAAATCTGCAGCAGAGGCCAATTTCTATACCCACTCTTCATCAGACAATAATAGCTGTGACTGGCCTTTACTATCAGGGAGTCACCAATTTTTTTACTTTGATACTCTGCTCAGAATTTTCTCGCAAAATTAGCAATCTTATTGATGTGAAATATGGTAATCTTGCGATTTTGTATTTGTCTCTGAACTATCTATGGTTAGATATCCTCTTCGGTAACAGTGTCATACGCTATATGTTGGTAAGCCTGCTCTTGTGTTATGTTCTTGTATTCATCCATACCTCTAATGAACACAAGAAATTGAGAGGTGGAACAGCTGTCCAGCGACTCATCCATTGCAATTGAAAAATGGCGGAACTTGCTTGAATTTTTTGCTATTTGAGTCGCAATGTTTTCACCAATGTCTGCAACACGGCGAGTAATTGTATTTGCACACAAAGCTACAT